GGAAAAATTCCCCTTTGCCCCAGTTGCGGTCACATGCCATTCCTGAACCAATCACTGTGGATGGGCCTTGGCTGTGGTTGGCCAGTGTAAGTCAAGTGTATTCCTGGATCCGTAGCAGTATCGTCAAGGCTGAGGTAGAGCAGAATTTAGCACAGTGGTTTCAACCCCTACTAATGTCATTTCTGGAGTTTGAGGTCCTTGGGTTCAATCTGGGAAAGGTCTCACCAGAGCTCCCCTTTCAGGGTCATGCTGTGAGTTTCTCCATGAGGCAGAGACTTGGTTATATTTAAAGAGTAAGATTATTAGAAAGAGATAGGAGAATGCCACGTCCCCTCCCGCGGCGCCTAAGTGAGAAATCCTTAAGAGCTTGGCACGGTCAAGGTACCGGGCACACAGGAGTAATACGTGGCCCTCCAAGAATAAAAGAATGGCTGATTCTCGAATGGTCACTGTAATTTTTGATTTGTTTCCAGAGTCTGCTGACACACAATGTACTAAGCCAAAGAAATGTTATGAACATTGTGTTTCATTCTAATGATACTCTTGAAAGGAATGTAGCCTCCTCTGTTCTTGATATTGATTTAACTCTGAGAAACTTTTCTATAATCTTTAATTCTATTAAACTATTAACTCCTCTACACCAGGTGGCTTGTGAAAAGAATGGGGAGAGCAATTAAAAGGATTAGCAAGGCAAAAGTGATAGATAGCGCATTTGTTTAGCATCACTGAACCTTGAATACACAATGGTTTCTCAGGGCCCCAGGTTGGTTTCGGGCCTCTGATGACATCTCAGAAACAATAAAAAAAAAATGTATTATCTGTCACACTTCTATTGAAAAAATCATTGTACCCCTATATTTGCTTGCCAAGAAAAATTGTATAAATGCTCTGCACTCTTAAAAATAAATTACATTCAGATATGCACTCCTAGAAGTCGTGTCTGTCTGTCACTCAACCTCATCCTTGTCCACCCTACGCCAGAATTGCCACCCCTGAAACTTGTCTCCTGCTCCTGCTGCGCTGGTCAGCGGCAGGAGAAGAAAGGACACTTGCACAGGTGCAAGGGGGCAGGAAAAGCTGTCCCTTTAAGGGGGGTCTCATTTGGTTTTATCATCTTCCTTTGGTAGGGAGGGGCCCATCCTAGCTAAGCAGTCAGTTGCTGATTTAAGTATCTATGCAAAATTTGAGAGGACCAGAAATTCCCTAATGAGCTACATCTCCCTGTCCTTATCTTTTACCTTTTGAGTCTGAGCTTAAGACACAGCCAACAATCTGTTATCTGTTGGGACCTCCCTCCAACATCCCTGGCATCAGCTCCTGAGGACCTTGATTTTATGGCTGTTTCAAGGATCTTGATTTTTATGGCTGTGTTAATTGCTAAGCTAGCCCCTTCTACCCATTCCCCTCAGATGAATCAATCTTGTGATGCCCCCCCCCACATTCCTTCCTCAGCACTACCACTTCCTCCACCTCACATTTCAGAAAAACAGCTATGCACATTTCAGAACAAAGTGACTTAAACCCTATAGTTTAGCCCTATTAGTTTATCTCATACACAAGTACCATTAATTGTAAAACTTCCATTTTATCTAACAGGAGGTTAGGCTTAGTGGTTTTGTGGAGCAAATTGGCCAAATCTTACTACCTCTACCTGTAAATTCCTGCCCTCTTGTTAAGCAAAAAGTTAGCAAAATCCACTGAAAACCCCATCTTGGTGCTCCTGCCCCTTCAAACTAAGCAGGTATTAAGACCCAAGGTGGGATTCTCTGAATCTTCCAGCATTCATTCTTACATTCACTCTTGAGTGTACACTTTCAGCTACAAAACAATTTTATTTCTAATTCACCTCTATGAACCCTGCGTGAATTATTTCCTGTGTAGAAGTCAAGAACCTCCGGGTGTCTCTGTCCCCTTAGGCCTTATCATTGACAGCTGCAGTCAGGATGTTTCTCAAAGGCAAAGGAAACAGTAATTCGCAGACAAGGAAATAGATACTGCAGTGCTAGGACTAGACAAGGTCAGTGAAGCACCAATGGGTGCAAATTTAAGAAAATTTTTCAACTCAAGCAGACTTTTGAGAGTGAGCACCTCCTCAACTTTTTATGCCATTTGCCTCTCACTCACCCTAGTCCTGGCTTTGGATGTTGAGCAAATAAGAGTCAAAATATTCATTACATCCGTATTCAAAATTATCTTCCAGTGTGCCTGAAATCTCCATCATTAGAGATCCACTTCTTTGTGTCAAGTAGAGACAGCTATATTTATTTATAAGTGCTGTTTTTTGTGGGGTTTTTGTTGTTTTTGTTGTTGTTTGTTTGTTTTCCCCAAAACAACTATTGGCAAATCCTTAAGTAAATATGCATGCTAATTATAAACTATCAAAGAAGCCATCTTCAGAACCAATGCAAATTGAAAGCCCCACCCTACAATAATGAGTGATATACTATAAGGAGATGCCTTGGGGAAGGAGGTGTGACTGTACCTGAAAGAGTACAAAAGGTCACCCTGAAAAGCAGAAAATGACATAGAAAAGTAGGATATACAAAATGTTAAGAAACACTTTGAGTCAATCCTTTAATAGCATGTACTAAACACAGCCTCTAGGCCTACTTCATCAGTTTTTCTAAACTCTACTGAGTCTACATTTGAGTTTGAGGTAGTAGGCTGATGGTAAGTAGAAGGAAAGACATAATAAATTTGGAAATCTCAGAAAGGAATTCTTATTGTGCAACATCTAGAAAGGCCCATCTAGATTTCTGATTATAAAGTGAGGATAATCCTGCCAATAGCAAATCTTTGGGTATCCGGTTGCTGGCCTCTGAAAGTTTAATTTTTCCTACAGCAAGCACTTAGAGACTAGGAGAGTTATAAAGTGTATGTTCCTCACAGCACCAAGAGGAAAATCAGTCTTAAACCACAAGGCAAATAAGTTAAGTACCTTTTAAGTTTGGTATTAATAAAGACATGATATCCATCTTCTGGGACTTTCCTTGGGACTCTATCCAAGGAAAGGCCAAGAAAGAAATTTAAATTAAAAAACCTTACAAAACGGAAATAAATCTGCCTCTCATAAAAATCAGGTTTTAAAATGTTTGTCCACAAGAGGGTTTCCCTGGTGGTCTAGGAGTTGTCTCAAAGTTATCACTTCTATGGCCTGTGTTTCAATGCCCTGGCAGGGAACTAGCCCACAAATGGCACAGCAGACCTCTCCTGTCTGAAATGCTGCTCCCCTCAGCAGTGTTTCAATAGATCTGCTTATCCTGCTCCCCACTCTGCTCTGGTGAGTCCTTTAACCTTCCCTCCTCCTGCCCCCACCCCACCTCTGGCCTACACCCAAGTTCCTGTACACACACACACACAAAAAAAAGCTTAAAAATTTAACCCCCAAATTAAAATGTTTAGATAGCCACACACTAAGAAGTATATAAAGCAATCATTCTGTTATTTGTTGGAGTTCATATCATTATCCATTGTGTTAACTCATAATGGACCCAAACAATACCCACAAACCAAAGTGACCTGGTCTATGGACATCAGTTGTGTTTGTAGTGGCAGATAGGTCATGGAGTAGTTGGTGCATGACCAGTATGATCAGATGTCAGCAATCTTGGGATCTCCTACTGCAAGTCCCTCTTAATTGAAAAACCTCCTGCATAAGATAGCTATCATGTGATGCACCCACAGAGTGTGATTTGATGGCTAGAATGCTGTCTTCAGCAACTGTATTTCCAGAGTAGCTGCTATTTTTTTATTCCAGGGACTACAAACCGACCAGCATTCTTGCTATAATCAGTTCAGGGTGGTAGTAATTCTGTGTGCCCACAAGGGTCAAAGCCAGATGCTAAACCAGGAGAAAGTCACAAAAACTATGATTATGAGGCCTTGCAGGGACACACAAAGAGAACTGCTTCCCTAGTTACATGTCCTCTTCTCACCTAAGAAAGTTAGATGCTATAAAATCATTGAAGGCCTAAGTTCTTCCCTGCTCGAAGAATACTATCAGATGCTTTGCTTTTTCCAACTGTATTCTTATAATCAGCAGGAGGTTTCCTAATAAGTGCAAGTATTGAATACTTATTATATGCAAAGCACTGTGCTAAGTGCCATGGAAAATTCTAGACTAAAAAGGATGGGGTGTCAACCCTCCAAGCTTGCAGTCTGAAAGAAAAGATATATGCACAATAATAACTCTCTTAAGAAACAAAGTTTCCTAACTGCTGATTTAGAAGCACAACTAAACTGCATGGAGAAAGAAAAGATTCATTGCAATTAGTGACTCAGAGAAGACTTCTTGGAAGACCCAAGGCGTGAATTCTCTATGAAAGGTTTTGGGAAAGTCAAAAGCCAAGCAAAGGAGGGTTGGCTCAAAAGTGCTGGGAACAGGCACCCTGTGTAACAAAAATCTGGACTTTAGCAAGCATTGTGTGGATCATACGACCAGATGACTGAGTGAGGGGCCGATTGAGAAGACTCGTGAATAGTTCAATCTTAAATCACTGTGAATGTGGCATCTCCAAAGTCAAGATCATCCAAGCAATGAACCTCATAGAAACTGAGAAGGCAAAGAGGAAAGATATCACCATTTTGTCTCTGAACTGAGACAGAAGAGCAAAGGAGAAGACCCTTGAAGGCTAGATCAGGTGGTGGTGGTGTTTACTCAGCTCCTTAAACAGACTCCTCTGGCTCCCTCAGGACAGAGCCCAAGACTCAGTTATCTAGGGATGTACAGATACCAAGAACTCCGGGGAAAAAACTTCTAAATAAACCCTGCTGGCCAGAGATCTACAGATCTGTGGCAACATCTGCAGCAGAGATGACAGAGCCAGCACAGGAAATTCTGGTCCTTTCAGCTGCGAGGGATTCCCAGCCTGAATGCTTCCTGGAACTTAATTCACAACTTCTCTTACGAAATCCAGCAGGCCCTCCCTCCCCTCTCTGGCTTCTTAAAACCGCAGGAGCTGCAAGTCACAGCACAGCGCTGAAGCTGCGAAGCTTTGCTCTCTGGCCCACTGCTGACTCCTTCACGCCGAGGCAGCTGCTCACCTTAACGGCTTTGGAAGTACCTCTCCTGCAGGTGGGTTGCATTGCTGGCTAGTAACTGATTGTATCACTTGCCACAAGGGCCCGTCTCTTTTATCACCCTTAGCCCACCTGTAGTCCTTGTTTTCAGGACCCCACTCTCTAAGCTCGCTGGTAATGAAAAGAAGGTGCCCCCAAACCCCTCTGCAGGAAAGCCCCAATGTGTAGCACAGAATAGTTCAGCAATTCAGCTGTTTCTAGCTTCCTGAAGTGTTTTCACCTATCTCCATCCCAGGCATCCAGAAGCCTAAAGGAGTAAGCTTTGGGTGGTGGGGCAGGTGTACTGTGTGTTATTTCTGGACTGAAGCAATCTTGTGATAGTCATCAGAAAGGATCCTAGGAGAAAGTAGTTTGGGAAATCTCTCCTGTCTCAGATCTGAGGCTGCCTTTTGACTAAGAACTGAAATTCATCCTGATATTCATCTGCCTCCACTTTCAGCCTTGGTCTTGATTTAAATCTTCTTCCACAGTTTAGCAATTGCTTTTCAGAGAAATATTATTTGGAATATAATTTACTGTGAAGAGCAAATAAAACCTTGGTTGCCTGTTTGTCCCAAGACAACAGGAAGATAGATATTATTCACCCCTGGATGGTAATTTGGTAACTTTCTCTAATAGATGACTGCTATAATGGAAAGTGAATTGAATGGCGAAGAGAGAGGGACACTGGAAATTCTATTCCTAATTCTAACTATAAATTCAAAACCTCAGCCTCAGTTTCCAGAGAGAATAAAACTCTCGGGCCAAGATGATCCAGTAAATCCATTAGCAAGGTGAAAACCCATGACTAGATATGCTTTGTAGATTTAAAATATATTGAAAATCTTGCTAACTCTAGAAGTATAACCAAGTAATTAATTTCTTCATAATAATCCAGGTTTCATTTTTTGAGGGAAACTACACTGTTTGGGGTCTCTTCTCACACTTTATAGCTTACATTTCTACCACAGTTATCATTCAGTGAATACGCTCATCTTTCAAAACTATTCTTCAACTTGCTATGTGAGAATGTCCTAGTCCTATAAATGGTAGTCATATAAATGTCACTCATGTGAAAGAACATTTTTTTTTCTGATACAGTAGGTGTAATTTTATAAAATGGCACATTTATTTGAAGCAGTAACTTTTCTGAGATATGGCCTTTTGCAAGGCCCTGAGTTTCTCAGAATGCTGTGATTTAGCGCAGTATGAAATTCTACCTGCTTGTATTCTACCTGCATGGCAAACACTGCTAACCCAGAAAACAGGATAAGCACTCCCTATTTATCTGGCCTCAAGGTTGTAAAGTAAATGGTACATGTGTATAGAGAAATTGGGTCATAACACTTTCTCCATTTGGCAACCTTTATGGTTCTGAGGAAGTTCACATAGCAGCTTGAAGTTGAAAACCAAAGTGAATAAGGTCTGACCCCCAACTGGAGAAAGAGTTCCAGACTTCTTCTTTGCTTATACTTGCTAACTATTGTTATAAGTGACCAAATAAATTTTTATAAACCTTCCTAGAAACTGAAAATCCTGAGCCTTAAGCCTTTCTGTAAACAGTTTTAAGAAAAACAGGTTCTTTTGTCATAGGACTTCACAATTGAAGAAACCCTGAGCAGTCGTTCTGCAATATCTTATCTACCAAAGCACTACCTTGTGTCACTCCACATCATGAATGCCATTATTAAAAGGATATAGTTTCCTTGTAAGGGCTCTCAAGTAGTTAATTCTGCACTCACCCTCAAAAATACAGCCTGTATTTTCATGATCTTTACCATCTAGTTTTCTTGATAAATCATTTGAATCTTGTGTAAACTGCTACTGAAAAAAATCATTTCCTTTTAAAATCTTAAGTCCAGTCAAAATAAAAGCATACCATCCACTTTCAAACATTAAGACTAGCTAAGGTAGTCTGTGGCTAGGTTCCTGAAGCTTGACCCTCAAGGAGCTGTCCTGCAAGGAGAAGATGGTTTGTTAAGACTCTGCATATACACACCTACCTATAACTCCTACAGTAAGAATCTATGACAGGCTGTGGATAGGATGTTTTCTAGTGTGTATGTGTGTTGGGGGTGGGGGAGGGGTGAAGTTGTAGTACAGCCAAAAATAACAGAAAGATTTGCAAAGATGAGGCTCCAGAAATCAACTTGTACTTGTTTGTCTCTCTTTTTAGTATATGCAAAGGGAATGGGTCATCCAGTTAATTAAAAGGGCTTTCTGAGTAATTCCATGTGATATGTTAAAACTACTCAAGATATTTTGAATGACTTTTAGGTCATTTCCAAAATTGTTTTAATTAACACTTGTTCTTTTTTGGAGAAGAAATCAGTTCTGGAATGAATAAACCTAAGTAAAAAACTAAAGGATAATTAATGCTCAAGATAATTCATGATAAGAAAACATACTTGGCCTATATATATATAAACAATTTGTTCTTCCAAAATCATTAAGTAGAAGAGAACAAAGACTGTTTATACTGTTGAAGATCATCTTGTAGAAGTATATCACTGCAAAAAGAATGCAATATTGTACTAAAGGAAGTATTTCCACTCTAATTAACTTGGCAGGTCTTATCTAAATGCTTCTCCACAATGTTCTAGAAGAGTGTGTCCAACCATGTGCAGAGAAATCTTACCATGCTGTACTTTCATAGTCACATGTTTCTGAATAGTTATTTTGAGAGAAAATTTCCTTCAATGTATACTGTAGGATCATCTTAAAAGCAGGATAAAGTTCAATATTCATATCTTTAATGGAAAAAAAAATGTGTACAAAGGATGATTTTGAAAGGACAGGAATTAAAATTCTGAATTAAAAAAAAAGCTAAGAGATGACTTAAGGTAACTGTATATCACACCAGTTAGAGAGTTATTAGAACACAAACTAGATAGTGTCTTTTGCCTCAACTCCAAAAGTTGAAAGAGAAAATCAGCATTAAGAACAGAGTCAGGTTTCCAATCACTTCTGTGGTTATGGCACCACAGAATATGGAAACAGGACGCAGAGACTGTCTATTTTGTGCATCTTTCATCTATGTTACTCTTCTAGAGAATGTGGACCAGCTTTGAGCCCAAGTTAAGTGGTGGCCCAGACAAAATTTTACACAGACTTCAGTAAATTTTGTTGTTCTGCTTCCTTCTCTGGGCTGCAATGCACTCTGCAAATTCCTCTGCTTGGGTCTTTGCACACAATTATTACAGCAGTTATTTTATGGTGCACAACCTCCACAATACTGAAGTCTCTTGCAGACAGGACAGTGTTAATTTCATCTTTCATTTCCCTCATGTAGCACAGTGCCTTATTAATATAACTGAGAAATCTGTTGAAAATATGAAATCCTACAAAGATACTGTTGATAATACAGATTTTTACTTTTGGAAAATGCAGGTGATTGTGGACATAGTGAGTTATGAGCATGATGTCCCTTGAACTATATTAGTTAATAGGGTCAATGTATGTTTGCAAAATCAAGATTTCAACTACTTGGCATTCTGGAAGAAGTATAAGATTACTTGTGTTGTACAGTACATATAAAGTATATAGTGGAAATTATGAAAACTATTTTTTTAAAGATTTATTTATTTATGCATACAGATCTGGGGTAGAGGCCAGAGGTTCAGGGGTGGTGAGAGGATTCACCAGAGACAGAGTGGGGAGTAGAACAGGCAGATCAACGAAGTACACTACTGAAGGGAACAGCAGGCAGGTCAGGAGAGGTCTGTCATGCCATGTGGATCACATCCGGGGCAGTGATCGAACTCATGCTGAAGTGGTTTAAGCTTCTTAGTGATGTGCTTTAACCTGCTGCACCACCAAGAAGGGCCAAAAACTATTTTTTAAAAAACAGAAAGAAATTCTAGGAAGCTGGCTATTTCTTCTCATTACCTGAATATTAGTAACTCTTTCGTCGCTCTAGCAAGTTATAGAATAAATTTGCTACTATACTACTTTGAAGTCAGTTCATTTTCAAGAGTGAAATAGTGTGATCAAAGCATTAAACTAAATTCATGAAAACTGGAATACTGACTTTTAAATGCTTTGATTAATTTAACTTAAGTAAAATATTTTTGCCTTTCTTAATACCTGAAAGAATAGCATAAGGAATCCTCTTGAACAGTACAAAAAAATTAAGTTATCAAATCATTCTTGTTAAAAAATGATCATGCTTCTAGTAATTTTTGTTTTCATTACACAAATACCAAGATGATTTTTCACCTTATAAAATGGACAGAGGTTAAGAAGAAAGCAGTTAGCAAGTTGATAAGTGAGTTAATAATGAAAGTGTGACAGTTGTCTCTGGTTTTCCTAAACTGGCATCCCAAATTGTTCTTTTATTTATTTTATGAGACATGTCTGAAAATTGGAATATATGCATTTGGACTATTGGTACAGAAAGTGGTCTCTGTGTCTCTCTCTCTCTCCAGAGGGAAGAATCGAAAGTATAGAGGTTTCAGATTTATAGTCTGATGATGTAAATTTTCTGCATGAGGTAGAGAAAATGTAGGGTCCCTGGAAGTAGGGGAAGCCATGGGGGTTCTATCTTGTTAAGAACCCAGTTGACATCTGAGAAGCGAGAGACCTAAGAAACTTAGATCCAAAGTGTAACCGGTACTGGAAAATTGTATCCTGCCCTCTCCCTAATTATTTTCCCATTTCCAAGGTCACATGCCAGAGTCTTGGAGAGAAGGAAATGAGAAGTAGATAAAATTAGCCAGTGGCATGCAAGTAAATGTTTCTCTAAGGAAAAAAAATGTCCTGATTTTGTAGCTTTTGCTGGTTTCCATTGTTAAATATTCCTGATATGGCTTATTTCAGCTGGGAAGTATCCCCCACACCACTGGTAAAAGCAGAGATTTAATTAATGAATAACTATATATCAGAAACATTGTGCGGGGCTAGAGTGGGGAATGGGATCAAAAATGGGGGGAGGGAAGTGCACAGGACTATGATGATGGCACATGGATGAATTGGTGATGGGAAGTCCACAGGGATTACAACTGAGATGGAAAAAGG